ACTCTCTGCAGTTTCAGGCATCCATTGGGGCCTATGGAAGGTATCTCCTGTGGAGAAGGCTATTGTATAAGGCCTACATTTAAATTTCCTGGAGTTGGAGCACACCACTGGTACCGCAGGCTATTCTTTTGTTTTTATTTATTTATTCATTTGTTTATTTGTTTATTTATTTATTTATTATTTATTATTTTCCTCACCAAGGACATTTTTGCATTTATCTTCAGATAGAGCAGGAGGGAGAGTGGGAGGAAGAGAGAGAGAGAGAAATATCGACGTGAGAGAGACACATCGACGTGAGAGAGACACATCGACTGGTTGCCACCCACACGACACCAACAGGGGCTGGGGACAAACTGCAACCGAAGTACGTGCCCTTAACGGGACCGAACCTGGGTCTCTCTGGTCCGTGGGCTGACGCTCTAACTGCTGAGCCAAACCGGCCAGGGCAGCAGGTTATTCTTAAATGATATTATTTACCCTGGGAGATTTTGTTTGGGTTTTTTTTAAATAATTTTTTATTTTCAATTACAGTTGACATACAATATTATATTAGTTTCAGCTGTACAACTAGTGATTAGAAACCCCAATAAATCTAGTACCCATCTGACACCATACATAGCTGTTACAATAGTGTTGCCTGTATTCCCTATGCTGTACTTCACATCCCCATGACTGTTTTGTAAGTACCAGTCTGTACTTCTCAATCCCTTCACCTCTTTCACCCAGCGCACCCCAGTCCCCTCCTGTCTGGCAACCATCAGTCTGATCGCTGTATCTATGAGTCTGTTTCTGATCTGCTTGTTTGTTTATATTGTTTTTTAGATTCCACATATAAGTGAAATCATATGACATTTGTCTTTCTCTATCTGGATTATTTCACTCAGCACAATATCCTCTAGGTTCATCCATGTTGATGCAGATGGCAAGATTTCGTTCTTTTTCTTTTTTTTTTTCTGGCTGAATCATATTCCATTGTATATGTGCACCAGTCCTTAGTTGCCCCTCACCTATTGATGGACACTTAGGTTGCTTCCATATCTTGGTTATTGTAAATAATGCTGCAGTGGACATATCCATGCATGTCTTTTCGATTTAGTGTTTTTGGTTTCTTTGGGTAAATAACACTGGGAGATTTTAACCTATGTTCATTCAAAGGCTCAATTAGGCAGAAGGCAGGAAGTGGGGAATTTACTTTTATGTTTACTAATCTCTAACTAAAATGTAACATTTCCTTCAATTATGAATGTAGGCATCACACCAGTGCAGTTTTAGCAATACCTATGGTATTGTTAGTGGTAGAATTCATAGATCTTTTTCACATCGTGCAACAGTCTTTGCTGATGTCTTAAAATATCTCATACTTATCAGTACTTCTTCTGAAGTAGGACAGTTATTAGGCCTGTCACTAGTCCTTTTTTTTGTTTGTTTTAAGGGAGAGAGAGAAACATTGATCAGCTGCCTCCTGCACGCCCCCTACTGGGGATCAAGCTTGCAACCCAGGCATGTGTCCTGACCGGGCATCGAACCAGGACTTCTCAGTCCATGAGATGATGCTCAATCCACTGAGCCACACCAGCCGGGCAAGTCACTAGTCGTTTTAATTCATGTGTTATATATAATATCACAATCCTTTTACTATTTTGATCATCGAACTGCAAAGCAATCACCTCTCTGTTTTATTTTATGCATTTAGAACTGTGAAAGGACAGAGACCCTGAGATGAAATGAACTGATTGTACAGTGGGCCCTTCCCTCTCTCGCTCTCTTAACCTGAGCGAGCATTTTGTTCATTTTAACCTCAATGTCTTACACTCTAAAATGTGGCAAATAATCCACCCCTGGGGTGGTTGTGAGGTTAATTAAGGTAACGTGCCCGGTGTAGTCAGAGTTCTCCCTGGTGTCATTATCGCAGTCCTCTGTAACATGGCCAGCATGCCTTCCCTCGTCCCCTCCAGCTCGCCGACTACAGTAGCCAGGATTCTGGTCACCTGGGAAACCTAGGAGGCTAACTTACTGTATTAATAGTATCTTGAAAGTACCTTGGCTTGTTCGAAGGGAAGTCTTTTTGCTTTAGTTTATATACATATATAACTTTTAATATGTTTTTATTGATTTTTTTTGGGAAGAGAGATATAGAAACATCGATGTGAGAGAGAAACATTGATCAGCTGCCTCTTGCACACCCCCTACCAGGGATCAAACCCACAACCTGGTTTTGTGCCCTGACAAGGAATCAAACTGGGACCTGTCAGTCCATGGGACGACGCTCAATCCACTAACCACACTGCCTGGGCTAGTTTATATATTTTTATTTTTTTATTCCTCACCCGAGGATATTTTCCTATTTATCATTAGATAGGGTGGGAGGGAGGGAGAGAGAGAGACAGAGAGAAACATCGATGTGATAGAGCCATATTGTCTAGTTGCCTCCCACACAACCCCAACCAGAACCGGGGATGAACCGCAACCAAGATACGATGTGCCCTTGACCGGAATCAAACTTACGACTCATTGGTCTGAGGGCCGACGCTCTAACTGCTGAACCAAACTGGCCAGGCTAGTTTATATATTTTTAATCTACAAAAAAAAATCTTAATTTTTTTGTCTGTAATATTTTCTTCTGAATTACCTTGCTGTGTTAGTTTCCTAGAGCTACTATAACAAATTACCACAAACCGGGCAGTTTAAAACATTTATTCTCTTTGTTGTAGAGGCCAGAAGTCTGAAATCAAGGTGTGGGCAGGGCCAAGCTCCCTCTGAGGTCCTAGGGGAGGATGTTGAGGTTCCTCGGCTTATCAGTGCATCATTCTGCTCTGTCTCTGTTCTCACATGGCTTTCTCCCCTTTGTTTTTGTGTTCAGAGTTCTGTCTTCTTCTAGCGACAGCAGCCACTGGGAGTGGGGTCCACGTAATCTGGTGTGACCTCATCTTAACACATCTGCAAGCACCGTATTTCCAAATAAGATCACTTCCAGGGGTGGGCTCAGGCTTCAGCACACTTTCCGGGAGGATACAGTTCAGCACACGACTCTTGCCGTGGACCCTGGGTACTTACTTCAGATCAGGCTGCTGAACGGACCTGGCAGCAGCAGTGTTTTTGTATGTGTTTCTTTTCTTTCTTTTTACCTCCAGGTAGTCCTTTACTCTTGCTATGGTTTCAAAAATGTTTTTAAGTGTCTAAATTGGAGGAAATGAAATTTATCTTTTTTTTTTTTTGAAGAAAGGAATCTTGTATGGGGAGAAAAGATGCAGGGACCTCTGTCTAGGGAGATTATTTTAAAACTGTACTGAGAGAACTTACATGCATGTATGCATGACCAGTGAACAGAGACAACAAAGCTGGGGACGGGGCGGGCCTGTGGGACAGGGAGGAGGGTGTCAGTGGGGGAAAAATGAGAAACATCTGTAACAAAAACAAATTAATAAATAAAACATTTTAAAAAAAGAAAAGGTTAAAAAATAAATAGAAGATCTTTGAAAAAAATAAATAAATAAAATAAACCTGTACCGAGAGGCAAGAGTTAAAAGGGCAGCCACTCCACTGAACAGTCTGTTTACACAAGTTTATGACTTGGGTGTGAGTTGGCCGTTCGAGCCAGAGAGCGCTGAGCCCTGGAGGCTCGGCTGCTGACCGGGAGATGCCGCTGACAGGCAGCGCTCTGGCCACTTGTACCCCGAGTCCACTGTACTAGAGGCAAGAAGGAGGCTCAGAGAGCATGGATGTGGTCAGCTGCCTGTTCCTGCAGTGTGTCTGTGGGCCGCCGCCTGTAGCCGAGTCCGGGGTAGGTCCTGGCTCCTTGGAGAGGCTGTTTGTCCGTGTGCTGGGTTTGCAGTTCCGGTGTAATCCCACTCAAAGTGCATTCCCCAGAATGAGCGAAGGTTGTATTTGAAAGCAGTTAAACTTTGCTAAAAGAAGATCTAGTCTCGGAACATCCATCAGAATTCAAGTCTGTTCTTTGAGGAATGTGAGCTACTTCTGGCTAAGGATCGATCACGGTCTGAGGGGAGCTTCACGCCGAGGGAGTTGGCACAGTCCCCTCCCCCTCAGCGCTGCTGTTGCCAGAGGCGAATGGACATTGCAGTGTTCGAGAGTATTCTGTCAACTAAGTTTGCAGTTCCTAGAACATTTGGTACCGCTTGGAGGGGGTTTCTTCCTGTACGGCTTCAGTGGGGTTGCATAAATAGTTACGGTAGAGTTAAGTTGGTTCTTGAGGTGTATAGTTACAGTAGATCTCGAGGTGTATAAATAGTGAGGATAGAGTTCAGTTGGTTCTCGGGTGTATAAATAGTTAGGGTAGAGTTAAGTTGCTCATTGGGGCATATGTAATGGTAGAGTTCAGTTGGTTCTGGGGTGTATGTTACGGTAGAGTTCAGTTCGTTCTCGGGTGTATAAATAGTTAGGGTAGAGTTAAGTTGCTCATTGGGGCATATGTAATGGTAGAGTTCAGTTGGTTCTGGGGTGTATATTATGGTAGAGTTCAGTTGGTTCTGGGGTGTATAAATAGTGAGGGGGGTTCAGTTGGCTCTGGGGTGCTCCCCTGCAGGACAGCAGCTGACGGACCTGATGTGTTAAGCAATCAGCCTGCCCCTAGTTCCCTGTTCTCAGGGCCTCCAGCACTTCCTGCAGCATGTTCTGGTCTCAAGGATTTATCACCTGAGCAGCTAAGACGGCTCCTTGTTTTCCTAAACGCATTTTCTATTTTTCTTTTCCGCAGCAGGGAGGAGAAAAGCAGGCTGCATGTTGCGTAAGTGCAAACAAAACCACATGCAAATTTGTGAGCAGACGACTCATTGCCTGTCATCTTGTACTTCTGTTTTCCTGGCACATTCTTTCTGAACCTTTCTGTCACCGGCTGATAACACAGATGGGTTTCGTCTCACTGTGCACTTGGGTTGTCTGTGCGAGCTGATGTGGTGATTTAGTTAAACTCACCATAATAACCTGGTTTTCATATGTAATGCAAAAAAAATAATATTAACTTTCCTGTGCTTTCTCTAATGCTTTCCCAGGGTGGTGTCACAGAGGAAAAACTTTTCCTCTACCCTCTTTTTATCAACCCTCTTAGGTTGATGCTTAGGGGTGTGAGAATTAAAGTTGACAAAAGACAGATTTGCAAGAGAAAAGACAGTTTTATTTTGTGGGTAAGTGGGGTTCATAGAAAAGTGTGACTCCAGAAAGCTGTTAGAATTGGGGGCTTGTATCCCACCTTAAGGAGGGGGGGAGGGTGCTGACGGAAAACCCGTGACTTTAGGAAAAAATAAGTGGGCCTGTGAAAAACAGCTGGAGATCGGATGGTTTCCTGACCATGTCTGCTTAGGCGAGGGCTTCTCCTCTGGCGTGGTAAGAGTCCATGTTCCCTGGTTGGAAGGAAGAAGTTCTAGCCCAAGGGAGCAGATTTATGACAGCTGAGTTCTGGGAGGCCCTGATCTCAAGGCAGATGAGGGAGTTCAGGAAAAAGCCATTCTGAAACACCTTCAGCTCGAAACAGTTTTTAGGCCACAGCGATGTATTTTGGACCCCTTCACTGGTGACTTACAAGCAGCATCCCGGGCAGTAGTCAGTGGACAGCTAGGTCCTTGGTGATCGCTAGGACCCATTTCCCCTGATCGGTGGGAAATTTCGTGGTGTAGTGGGAACAGAAATCCTGAGGCTCACAGTGCAGTATCTCTGCTGCTGCTGATGGGCTGTGTGGCCTGAGCAAGTCACTGTACTTCTCTCGGTCACAGTTTTACTAATTTGAAAGACGATGGGCACGGAGTAGATCGTCCTGCTTCCTTTGCTCTTCATCAGATTTTTCGTGGTATGTGATCTTAGGGATGAGCAGACACCTCAGGCCGGAGGTGGGACTTCTTGGGGCAGCAGTGCTCATGGGCGGGCTGGGCTGGGCTGCCAGAGGATGCCACGTCAGTTCTGCTGACCATCTCCGCCAGGTGACCTGCCCTCTGTCACATGACTTTGCTGGTTAATTTTGTTCTCTTCCAGTGCTTGGTTGTGTTTCTATTATATTTTAAAATGATCTATAGGGGTGGAAGAACTGAAGGCACCCAGCATGTGCCTGGTGCCTGCCACAGACTTAGGCTAACCCCCTCCCTGTTCCCTCCCATGGAGCTCCGAGACCAGATTCTTGGGGGTCTGCTGAGATAGGGTTATCTCTAGGCAGGGGGTGGGGGTGGGAATTCCATGACAGTGCTTTTTAAGAGCAATAATTAACTACAGCTGATAAGGGCTATCTTACCATTGTAGTATTTCATCCTCCCTGGGACCCATTTTTCCCTAGAGATCAGCTACGGAACCAGATCCACAGAAGTTAAGTCACTTGCCCATGGTCACCAAACTAGCTAGGGACCCAGTCTGACTTACACAGAGGTCTTCTCATTTTCAAACCTCGTGGATTTTTTTTTTTTTTCTAGTACATTGCATTGCCTCTGAAAAAGTTACTTGAAAAATTAGAACGCATTGCCTAATTAGATGGTAGACTCTCCAGCTGCGGTATTGTCTCCTCTGAAATCTGAGGTCCTGAAAGGGCAATTGTGATTTGTCCAAGCTCACATAGCTGGTTAGTAGCCTGACCTGGTTCTTTGACTCCTAGTTCAGTTGAGTGTCAGGCCCTAGCAACCCAGACTTAATCTTTTGAAAGCACCTTCTATTTTTAAACATTATTGCAAGATGATACCCTAGAGCAGCCATGGGTAGCATTACACATTCATTCTTGTACTGACCACCTGCCTTCCCCCATGCTACTGTTACATGTATTTTGGGTGACACCCCAAAATACCATACTTAAAAGTTCTTTTTATTAGCCCCTAACAGTGCTGATTTTTTAAATATCTTTTATCAGGACTCATTAGTCACCAAACATCACTATGTAAATTAGTTTTCATTCAACCTCCAATTCAAGATACATTTGCTTGTTTTAGTCCACATCTCAGTTATGTCTGTTACACACAGACACTGAGACGTGAGAAGTTAATCTGGAAAGCGGCAGAGCTGAGGGAGGGCGAAGGGAACCGTGGCGGGTTCTGTTCTAATGTCTTCCCGGATGTGGGATTGCCGCTCACCTAACTTGTTCACATTTGAAAAGGTTGTTACTGAGGAACCCTGGAGGCGGGGCTCATCCCTGGAGGACGAAAGGACAGAGGCCCAGAGGCTCTCCAGGAGGAGATGGGGCTCTGGGAGGAGGTCAAGGCCGCGGCCACTCTCAGACTATGGCCAGTTTGCCGGGCGAAGTCTGTCTATCCCTGAAGACTCAATTGCCGTGGACCCCCAGAAGGAGGACACTGTGGACAGTGACCACCAGCTGAGCATGGCCTCTGTGGTTCCTGCAGACCAGAGCACAGCCATGGGCTGCCCCAGAGGAGGCCAGAGAAGACGCCCCATCTCCGTGATAGGCGGGGTCAGCTTCTATGGGAGCGGACAGACAGAAGCAATCGAGAATCTTCTCACCCAAGTAAGATCTGGTGCGCTTGCTTCCTCCAGAGCCAGCAGCGCCCTGAGCTTCCTGGCCTCTGTTCTCCCCACAAACTAGACCGGACACTGCTTTCCTTTCCTCTCTGACTCAAGGGCGATGTCATCCGCTCACACCCCTGCCTCCTGACTTTGCAAGCTGCATGCCTTAGAACTAACCGTCTACTTGCGGAAGTGTTTTACTAATCTTCTGTCTTCGCTGGGAGCTTGACTCTGAGATTTGAACCCGGGGGAGTAGCAGCGCGTAGTAAGTGGGCTTCCTGCAAAAAGAAGGCTTGACAGAGGGCGCAGCACTCGTTGTTAACCTGTCAAGATAAGAGAGAATAAAGAAGCCAATTTTTTAGGAGATAAGGAAATAATTTTTTCCACCATTTTCTTGCTTTCAGCTGCTTTGACGCTAGATTGAAATCATAACATCATTCCCTTAGTATGATGTAGTAATGCAGCAAGTACTTAGCCGTTACCCAAGAGCTCTTTGAGGACACACAACGTTTCAAGAAAGGCCCCGTTCAGGAGGAGTTTCTGTTACTAAGGGAGACTAACACCAGCCATGGTTGAGGGTTCACAGGACAGTACATGAGTAAGTGCCCAGTTTCATACTTCAAACCAAATCAGCACCTGGAAAATTTCTCTGAAAAGGGAACGTCCCTATTGGCGTGGGGCTCAATGTTTACGCTCTGCCCGTAAAGCCCCGCGCAGCTCCTTTGGTCCAGCAAGCCCTCAGCCCTCTGGCGTAATTCAGTTAAACTGAGTAGAATTCTTAAGGTACAAACAAAGTAACTTGAAGAATACCACACATTTCTTTGTTGTGCTAGGATTCGCTACATGCTGGGAAGTAATCCTGAACCAAAGCAGACTGAATCCCTTCATTCAGATCACAGCACAGGGAAGATCTAAAGCACTTGGGAATGATTGCACGTTAGGGCATCAACGAGGAACTAGTCAGGCCCCTTCCTGCACCGAAAGCTCATTAGCGCACTAGGTGGAGAGCACTAACCAGCTTGGCTTCTGATGCTGTCAGTGTGGAAAATCCAAAGGGCACAGAGGTGATTCCGTAGACCAGGGCACACTTGCAGAAACCCAGCTCTTCTTTTAAACAAAGCTCAGTTGTCACGTGAGTTTCGGTCACCGAGAACAGTATTCCACGAACGCTGAGCGGGTGCCCGCGTGTGGGTCGGGAGGAGACCGAAGTAAGTAGCAGGGCCACAGGTGGTCCCCTGGCCGTGGTCCTTGGCGCTGGCTGTGCTTCCTCTGGAGGCTGCGCTGGGAACACGTCTTCCTGACCCTGTGACCCTGCATCTCCGAGAGAGCCACCACTTCCTAAATCTGCTTTTCCTTTCTCAGCTCACACCTTGCCTTTCCTGAGTGTTGCTCTCAGGTGTGTCGCTGACAGATCAGCCGACACGAGGCTGCGTGTTTTAAAGGGCAGAGCAGTTGTGCAGCCGAGCCTGGGTGTAGCTGCCGCGCGGGGCTCGGAGAAGCCCTGTCGCCTCTGATAGCTGAGGTGAGAGCGCCGAGCTCGCAGCTGTGCGTGTGAAGCTCGGTGGAGCTGCCACTTCCTGGCGCCGTCTAACCGCCTCCTGCTTTCCTTTTGTAGCCAGCAGCCAGGCCGCCTGTGCCAGCGCACCAGGTGCCGCCCTACAAAGCCGTTTCGGCCCGGTTCCGGCCGTTCACGTTTTCCCAGAGCACCCCCATCGGGCTGGACCGCGTGGGCCGACGGCGGCAGATGAGAGCATCCAACAGTAAGTCTCACGGGCCCCTGTGCGGCGTGTCCCCTTTGAGAGACGGCCTGGAGCCCTGGCTTTGACTCTCCAGTTAGACCCCGTGCCCGGTTCACGGTGGACCTTCCGCCTGCCTCTGGGCCAGGGCGGTGTTTCCCTGATCGCGAGGGAGGCTCAGCTCGGAGCCGAGCTGGGCTTGTGGTCGCTGTCGGGGAGGATGCTCTGGGTGCCTGCGTCGTCAGGGGGCCCTGAGTCTGAGAAGTGTGCTCCTGTCGTGGTGTCTGTGTACCTGAGTGTTCCTGCGTTTGGGGATCCCACCAAGACTGCCGTGACTGTTTTGAACCCCAGAGCGAAGTCATCTGCTACAGTAGTTAATAGGCTCTCACAGCACTTGCCCACTGGTTGATTTGAAATAATACCACGTGTCTGGGGAATGAGGTTTAAACTCCTGAAAACGGCCGTCTTCCCCTGGGCTCACACCGATGCCCGTGCCAGTCGGTCGGGAGCAGCCGGCGTGGTCCCCGAGCAGCTGGGCGGCAGGGGAGCCGCACTGACCCCCGTGGGCGCCATGCCGTGCGCTCTGGGGGCTGGCGCATTGGATCCTAACTCTGTGCCGCGGTGGATGCTGTTACTGTCCTCGGTTTACAGATGAAAGAGCCTCGCTGTAAACAGGCACACCATCCCGAGTCACTCAGCAGGAAGTGGCGGAAGGGGATTTAAACCTCCAGTCAAAGAGAACTGTGGAGAGCAAGGCCCACGCTTCAACCCAGAACTGCCGACTGCTGAAAGAGATGCAGCAGACTCGCGATGATGATAGCTCCAGTTGCTGGGTTTACCGTCTCCCCTTTGAAAACGAACATTGTGTGGCGAGCATGAGAGAGAAGAACTGGGCAGTGGGGGCCGAGGCCGAGGCCTGGGTTCTGTTCCAGCACCGAGGCAAACCCTGTGGTGGGACGGTCCTCCCCTGATGCTGGCGCCGGAAGCTGTAAGAAGGGGCGGGGATTTCAGTAATGAAAGAGGCTAAGGGTGTTGCCTGCAGAACAGTGAAGTTTCAGAGAGAGGAGGAGGGGAACCAGATGGGTCAGAGATGAGAAAGAGCAAGGAGGTGGGGAATTCTAAAGACAGGGATAACAAGGCCGCGGATGGATTCTGCACCGAAACTGTCCTGGAGGAGTCCTGGGGGCCAGAGTGTCAGAGGCCAGAGAGTTGGTGAATTGTGAGAAGTGTTACTGCCCTTGGGTAGGTTGGCATGATTTCTAACTCAGGTCACACAGTCAGGAAGAATCCAGGCTCGGCTCTCCTCAGACAGAGGCCAGAGGCAAAGAGAACTTGGGTGGCAGCTGGAGGTGGAGATTTGCAGCCATCGCAAGCCCAGATGTTTGAGAGAGAGCCTGTGGCTCCTTTAGTCACTGCTGCCTTTGTCCTCCTCTCGGGAGTAGGCTGAACACCTTGGAGTCATCGCCCCCTCATCCGTGGTCACTGGATCCGGTCCTCAGCATCCCCCTGCTTCCCGGGCTCCTTAACGCTTGCTCGCAGCCGCTGCCCCTCCCCCGTCGCTTGTCTGGGCTGGGCTTTCTACGCTCAGTCGGAGTCACTGCTCACGTTGTTCAGCTCGTCCTTTGATACCCTCGCAAACTTCCCCGTCGGCACTGGAATAAAGTCCCAGCTCCTTAAACGAGCTCCCAGGTTTGTCTTCAGCCCGTCTAACACTCCATGTGTCTCTCGCGTCTCTTGCCCGAGCTCACCGTTCCGTGTTCCCACCATCCACGCCAGGCTCGCACACTCCCTTGGCTGTGGTTCGCCCGGAATTTCCTTCCTTTCCTTTGCCATATGTCAGCCTTCTTTCCATTTAAAACTCACAACTCATTCCCTGCCTGCCCTTGGCAACCAAGGGAATTCGTGGCCGTGCTTCTGCAGAGCAGTTCAGCCGCAGGTCTCACGTTCATTCTGTGACGCAGTCGTCAGCTTTGGGTGATGTTCGTGGGGAAAGTCATCCAAAAGGAGAAAAGGCTGCACACGCAGGATGTTCTTGACGATACCATTTGTGCTGCGAGAAGTCGCGCATGCCGTGGCCGGCTCCAGCAGACTGTGGAGGGGGTCACGTATGGGTAACTACTTCAAAATTGTTTACAGCAGAATTAGGAAAACCGAGTAACAGCATGGAGGAGGACTGCTGTCGTTTAGAAGGGAGGGAAAAAGGAAATTAAAGCATATGTTTATGAGTTTGCTAGAGCTGCCATCACAAAGTAGCACAGATAATAGAAACGTATCATCTCCATTCTGGGGTCTGGAGGTCAGCTCAAGGTGTTGGCAGGGTTGATTCCTTCTGCAGGCTGTGCGGGGATCTGCCAGCCGCTGTGAGAAATGGCAGGACCGTAGGTGACTTCTCCAACCCGGTGCACGTACAAACTGCGTATCTCTGGACTTTCTGTACGTGTCTTGTTTAGTTTTGATTTTAGCATTCTTTTGTTGAGGTGACAAATAAAGCAAAAAGAAAATTTAATGGAAGGGTGTCAGGTGTTCCCGGAGTTAATAGAGTGGCAGGAGAACCAATCTAGGGAATGGATGAGAGTTGAGTTGCTTCTGGGAAACAAGGAACCACAGGGAAGGAGCCAGGGAAGGCAAGTCGCAGGAGTACTGGCCACAGTGCTACCCCCGGGCAGAGTGACGGCCGACCACTCCTCTGTCCCCTTCCTTTCAGTCAGGAGTCAGAGTCCTCGGATGGAGGATTCAGCTCTCAGACCTCAGTGACCTGCCCACCACCTGAAGCACTGCATCAGGGGGAGGGTCGGGTCCTGCAGGGACCCCTTGCCTTTCGTATGAGGAGGCAGGTGCATGGAGTCCCTGTTTCTAAGGCACGACACAGTGCCGTAGAATGGAGGTCATTCCCCCAAAGAAACTCCAGGTGGTGTTGGAAATAGAAATAGATTCGGACTGGCCCTCCAGTTGTTTATTCCTGCACTGAGGAACTTTTGAGTGTGTACCAGACCACAGCAGTGAACAACCAAAGTCCCTTAAATCACGTGCATCCTAGTGATGGGGTAATACGTTATCTAGTAACTGTATTACACGGCAGGTAGTACTATAGAGGAAGATAAAGCAGGGTAGAGAGTATTCATTTTTCAAAGAGCATTATTCTAACACGATGCACCTACTTACTCCCTGTATAATTAGAAACCCTCGCTTTGGCCAGTATGGCTCAGTGGTTGGAGCATCTGCCTGTGGACCAGAGAGTCCCGGGTTCAGTTCCCACTAGGGGCACATACCAAAAAAAAAAAAAAGAAACCCTCTCTTCCTCTTGAGGGAGATGACCCAAAGGCTCATCAGCCTCTGCAAACATCTCCAAGTCCAGGCCCTGGGTGATAGCCACTCCTCTTCCCCTTCTGTTGCAAGGCCTTTTTTTTTTTTCCTTTATTGACCTTTAGAGAGAGGAAGAGAGAGGGCAAGAGAGAAACGTCAATGACAGAGAACATCGGTTGGTCACCTCCTGTGTGCCCCCCACTGGGGATTGGGCCCACAACCTGGGCATGTGCCCTGACCGGGATTCAAACTGGCAACCTCCTGGTGCATGGGTCGACACTCAGCCACTGAGCCACACCAGCCAGGCTGTTGCAAGGCCTTTTACATTTTTATACCCGAAGGTCAATTTAAGCAACACACCCTCATCGGAGTAGAAAGAGGTAGGGGAGAAAAGGGAATAGAGAATAAATAAATAGTATGTAGACATACACAGTGCCACAGAAGGGCGTCGCGCTCTCTGGCCTCTGGTTGCAAGGACATATGTGCCATTTTCCACTTTGCTCGCCGACCTGCCCATGCGTATGCCCCCGCACTTGACCTGGGACTGTTCTTCACCAGCCGAGGTGGTCCCAGCCTTTGCTCCGTAGTTTCTGAGCTGTTAGTGGTCCCCTTGCTTAGTTACCAGAGTCTCCTTTTCTCCCCTCTCTTAGTTAATAAAAAATCTGTCAGCCCACAGAAATGTGTGGAGCGCCAACTATGAGTCAGGTGCTATTTTTACCACTTGGAATCCAGCAGACAAGAAGGCATCACAAAAAGTTGACATAGCATTTAAGCAGATGCAGTAAGTCGATCAGCGGGATGATCTCAGGTGCTGATTGCTCTGGAGAAGATGAAGGTGGGCACTGTGGAGAGGGAGCGGGAGCGGGGCTGGCGGAGGGAACCTCACCCTCTGAGGAGGTGACATTGGAGTCCAGACTTGACTGGTGAGCAGGAGGTAAAGGTCTGAGGGAGGAGAGGTCCCAGCAGAAGGAACATCGAATGCCCATAGACAGACAGCGACACGATGTGTCTGAGGGTCGGCGAGAGGGCCAGGGGGACGGGAGCACAGGTAACGAGGGCAGGAGGGCAGGATGTTGCTGGGAGGTTGTCTGTGGGTAGACAGAGAGGGCGTCGCGGGTCCCAAGAGGGTTGTGCTGAGTGAGACAAGCCACGGCCACAGGGGAATGGCATGTTCTGACTGGAGAGAGGAACTCCAGCTTGAGGGGGAAAAGACAGAAGGAGGGAGACGGATTGGCAGGTCATTGCCTCAGTCCTGTGAGAAACAGCGGTGGCAGTGACCACAGAGGCATCCGTGTCTCAGTTGGGTGCTCACGTTCCTGGCGCACAGGACGCTACGGTGGCCCGCCTTGGATCGAACTCGGTAGGGCCAAGGCTGTGAGTTCTGCTGGAAGTGCTTCTCCCGTGGGGGAGTGCATTCCGTTTTGACAGAGCAGAGTTCGTGGATGGGAATTAAATATTTTGCAAACGTATTATGAAGTGGCCACAAGAGACAAACCCTGCGTTTACCCTTTGTTTCTGGATCTGTCTTTTCTGGCTGCGGGCGAACATCTCACCCCGTCCGGGACAGCATCACCACTTCAAGACGTGTCCCCAAGCTGCCTCCATAACTTGGTTGTAATTATACCGTCATTCGGTTTGCTGCGACTCCATGCTTCTGGGTGAGGCGAACGAGAAGGCTAATGACACCCCTGGGCACGGGCCTGTCACTATGCTTCTCTCCC